GACCAGCCCATGGAACGAGCGCCCGTATGAATATCATGCTACGCAGTCTATGACTCAAAATACTTTACATGCATCAAACATGAGGAAGTCGCCCCTTCGTAGTGGGATGGGTTCATGGATGATCGGAGATGAGAAAACCGCGGTGGCTGGCGGCTCTGATCTTGTTGGCTCATCTAGAAAACAGACGAATTTTACGGAGGTTGGTGGGAGGCTGGGTACTAGAAGGGCCAGAGCTGCTAGCCTCACCGAATGCCATTGAAGCAGGAATCGTCCCTAACAGAGACCAATTAGCAGGGAGGTGATGTGAAGCCAGGACCACGCGTATTACACGCACCTTTATTCTGTTCCTGTGAATGGTGCCGGATGCCTTGCGTAACCGCCCTCTGTTCTGCATTTTTCAGGTGCTTAAGGTGAGAAGGCTCATCACTAGGGGAATCCAAGCTGCGAAGACCCATGTGGTACTCATGAACATCCATGCCAGTGCTGGTTACGAATGCCACATCAGCCATACATCAGCCACGCATCAGCCGCGCATCAGCCATTCATCATGTGCAATCATCCGTGCTTGCCTCTCCTGATTGATTGTAGCTCCTTGTCTCTATTGCATACTACTACGTCTGAAGCTACTCACATACAAATTTCCGACATTTGTGCCTTTATTCGAACCTCTACCTACAGACGGTCGGTTTACGGTCGAAAGGGTTAGTAATTGCCGTTCGTGAGGAATTTCGAGTATTCCCGAGGCTGCCTAGCTTCTTCTGGACCCTTGCTGGAACCCTTGGATACCCCTACGTACCGTTACAGGTACTTATCATAGTACTGACGTCATTTACAATGGCCAACCCAAGTGCCATTTTGTCATTCCCTCCGCTTCTATTACTGAAAGGAGAGTCCAACTTCAAGGAGTGGAAGGTGGCCATACGTCAGCAAGCCAAGTACTTTGGCATTCTTGATCATGTTACGACAGACAAGCTGCTGCCAGCAGGTGCTGATGCAGCAACAACCAACCAATTCGCCAGGGACAGTGTTCATGCCATGATGCAAAGTGAATTTGGTTGGCGTCCCAGAAATGGTGTTCTCATGATGGACTACCGTACTAAAGCGTGTCCAGTCTGGCCAAGATGTACAGTCGCGCACGATAGTAGCAGTCTGCATATGCGCGTGTGGCCTTCTACGCACATGCTGCCTTTCGAATTGTCGTTTAAGAGTCTGAGCCGATCTCGAACAAGGTCCCCGCCGAACATCGCACCAACAACTACGAACTGGGCTCATGAATAGACACGCGGCTACGCTTCTCGGTAAGTATCCCGAACCCACCTAACTCGCTACGGTTATTCCTACCTTGCACGACCTATCCCTTCGCCGTACATTTCGCTTTAGACGCGTATGGGTAATCCTTACAGCGCGCGCGCCTTCACTAGCGCCGCTACGTCTCTGAGTGACCCAATTCAGCTAACAACATCGCTATAGAAAGTCCCCAGCCTAAGAGGCCATCATCAGAAGCCCAAGAAACACCTCCACTATACTGACAATATGGCCCCAAGAAAAACGAAGAATGTGGCGAAGTGGAGAAGGGGCCGGCCGCGGACCGCAACGTGGCGGAAAGCGCGGTCGCCCACACAAGTACTCGGCCCAATCCGCTCCTTAGTTGTCTCTCCACGCGGCAGACGACAAGCAGGATAATCAGAATGAGGAATCGCCCATTGTCTTACCCAGAAGAAAACCCCGTGCTGGCAAGGTTGCGCTGTTTAAGGAGAGACATAGATCAGCCGGTTCAGATGCTGAATTTACCCTTTCTGATGGCGTCCATAAGGGACACCCCGGCGAAGTTGCTAGATCAGCCGTCGATTCGGATCATGTTTTGAGAGTCCCATTGCCCTAGAGCAGAACATTAGGACGCCGCTTGTACGAATCTGCCTTGGCAGCGGCAGCCGAGCACCTTGACATCACATCCAGCAAGCAGAAGACATTACTGTAACGCATTTCCATAGCTCCCATAAGGTCTACGTCATTTACTTTGGTTGATACATCCCATGTCGAACATGGATTGCCGGATTGTAGTCCGTCAAACTTGGGCTTCAGCCTCTACAGCGCTATTTGCTTCGCTAGTGCTGCCTTTAGGGCGTATGGCGCAATGGTCAAATGCGCCTGGTTGTGTTCTCGTTTGTGCGGTGGGCGACGAGAACAAGTGGGTTCAAATCCTGCTATGGCCCCCTTCTGACCCGGCTTGTGCGAGTCGACAACCAGCACACGACAGTGGAGAGGCCCCATTATCGCAGAGCCTGATAGCCAAGCAGCTTGTCTCCATAACACCCACTTCTGCGAGGTTTTTCCCTTTGTGGTTTCCCTCGCCAGCAGATAACAAACACCTATTCCACCTACTAATGCGACATATATCGAACGGCTACTGGAACGATGTGTACACCAGAGGACTGAGGTTCACTGGGTCGCTTTGTCACTGGACAGGAGGTTTTTCTGACAGAATCGTGCTTGGGTATTGACTAAAACCATCTGGACACTCCAGATTGGTACCGCTACAGCGAGGATAGACTCGTGCGCGGATCTGAATGTATCTAGTTTGACACCTCTACAACCTTGCGATGCAATGGCTCTGGGAGGCGTGGTTCGCCCCATTGAGGGACTGCACCCACGATAAATGCAATCATCATCATCATGCAGTGACCCCTGCATACGTGGGTCGTATGGGGTTGTTTGTGGTCTTTGTTGGGACTGCGGTGGGGTGCGCTTGGGCACCTCTTTTTCTAGGCAGGGGTTCTGTTGCTGCCGGCTCCTGTCCTTCGCTGTTAGCAAGTACGCTCGTGCGGAGGAACTGGGAAAAACTGGTGGCTATCTGTTGGGCGTAGGCCAGCTGTTCTGGGTCCTTTGCCATGGTCGCGACGACTGTGTCGAGGGATCTGGCGACGAGTTCCAGGATATCCGTTTGAATTTTCTCGGTGCAGGGCTTGTAGGGCCGAGCTTTGGGCCTGGGTAGCGTGTATGGAGGCACTGAAACTATCAGGCTTTGCGAAGAGGCTGATGGGGGTAGAGGCTGTTCCGGAAACAGCGTTATTCTTGTCCTTGTTATCCCTTCTTAAAAGCACCGTCGGGATTGGGGCCTATCGTGTTGAAGTTATCCGCGTGTGGAGCGATCTCAGATACCCGGCTGAGAGCTGAGCTGAGGGGCGGGGGATGCCGCTGCGCTGCGCTGTCCCCCAAGGGAGGAGTCGCAGGGACAGCGGCAGCTAATGGCTGGTAAGCCATAGCGAGGATCGTGAGATCCGGGGTTTGGTGTTTTGGCCAGATGGAGGCGTCTGTTAGCGTAATGGCTGGCTAGGGTAGGCTACCCACTAACAGTGGGCGCCAAGAAAAATAATTTTAAAAAGAAGGTCGTCTGAAATGGTTCAACTGTTGCGTGATGAGATCAACCAGCTCCGCAAACAGGTCCTGGAAATGAATGTTGAGCACGCTTCCAGGCATTCGTCGAGAATATCAACTGCGACTCGCAGACCTAGAAGGAACCAACGCCCAGGAACCGGCAGGCAAGGAACGTCCGGACCCCCGTCTGCGGTTTCCATACCGCGTTCAAGCCAAGTCATCTCTTCGGTTGAGACACGGCATACAGTTCTCCCCGCTGAGACCTGCTGGACACAGACCGAACGTGCTCCGGCAGCGGCTCCTCATAACTTCCCTTCAGCTACGCCAGCACCAGGGGGCACTGGGCTCCTCCACCACACGATTAGGTTGAAAGACCCAGAACCTCTCGCGGACAGAATCTCCCCAACATATGAGGAGTGGGAGAATAACTCTCTCAATAAGCTGGAGAACAACGCTTGATTGTTTCCAGATGCGAAGAGCCAGTTCGTATGGCTGTGCTCCCTAGTCAGTGGACGTGCCAAGGAGGTTCTTAACCCCTTCATAGCACGTAAGAACCCCCAAGCTTACACTACTATCAAGGAAGTATACGCCTTGATGAAGAGCAGCTATAGCAACCCTGATGAGAAAGCAAAGGCCGTAACTCGGCTAGCAACGCTTTGGATGCAGCCAGGCCAGGAATTCTTCGTCTTTTGCGCAGACTTTGTCAGGACGGCAAGCGTGGCTGAAACGCCTATTTCCGAGTGGTAGTCCAACCTGAATAGGAGGTTGACACCCGTTCTACGCTCACATGTGATGACCCAGTTTCTGGATGACTCCTTGGACTTCAATGCCTTTCGATCGCACTGTTCGAAATCCGCTCAACAGCTCCAGGAGATTCTAGACAGACTACCACCAGCACTACATGATCTGGCAGATGCCTTTTCAAAGACTGAAAGCAATACTCTCCCACCTTTCCGAAAGCATATCGACCACAAGATTGACCTAGTCGACGGAGTCACTCCTATGAAGACCCACCCACTGTACGGAATGTCGACAGTCCAGTTAACATCTGTTGCGTGGTCACGTGACCCACTTGGGCTGGCGTATTGCCCACATCCACTGCAGCTGCGCACCACCTCTAGACCTTCCAACAACAACAACAACAACAACAACAACAACAACAACAACAACAGCAACAGCAACAGCACCAACACAGCAGATTTGCATCCTTTCTGGCCTTCTTACTGTGCAACAGGTTATGAGCCCTCATCCGCTCCCGCTACTGCAATCTATTGTTGTTCCTAACTTATAGATCCACGCATTTTTCGCAAAATTTGACGATTTTTCCGTCAATTGTCGACCTCTTGCGGCTTCAATAGCCCTCCTTAGCGCAAATCTTTCGCGCACATCCACGACCTACAATCCCAATCCTCTGATTTCAGCGTGTGATTCTTTGAAATCTATTAACACGTTTAAGGGGATTGCTGAGGTGATAGGTACTATCGTCGATTCTTCCGACAATCTCAAGCCTTCGCACATTCCGACACTTGTTTCTACCTCACGATCAAAGAGAAAGAAAGGCAAGAATACTCCCACTCGACAGACCTTGAGAAGCAAGGTACACGCCAAACCTGACGTAAATCACGATGGCTGAGCCAACGGCAGTCCTGGCACTGCAGCCCATTCCCATTCTCAAGGGTGAGATCAACCTCAAGCAATGGAAACGCGCAGTGCGTCAGCATGCCACATATTTTGGTATCCTCGAACACATAGAGACCAACTTGGTCCTGCCAGAGGATGCTACACACATTCAGAAAGTCACATTCACGAGATCCAGAGTCCACGCCCACATGTTGTTGACGTCAACAATCGCTCCAGTTGAGGCCCAACTGGAAGCTGCAGGCTGGGATGATGAGGATGACAGTCCTCACACTCTCGGGAGTCTCATTGTGAAGAATATTCACAAAGTCTCTGAGAATTCAGTAACCCAACTATTCCGCCAATTCATGAATCTCAAACTGGAACAGGGCATGCTGTTGAGGGATTTCAATGCCAAATTTCATCGGCTTTTGAACCGCCTTGCAGAACTCGACCTTGTCATGCCAGAGAAGGCGAAGATCCTCATGATCCTTGAGGCTGTCAAGACCCGCTACCCTGAGTGGCACAGATCTCCTCTTCTGGATCTGCCATTTTCTTTTAATAGTTTCTGTGGTGTACATCCAGAAAGAACCCTCGACAGAAGATGCCAGACCCAGAACCCCGCCTCTGGGCAGGAGTAGTGGGGTGCATGCAGTAATGAGATCCAGCAACGGCTCAACTTTTGACATGCTGGACCGGCGGCAAGCTTGTCAATGACGAACATCTAAAACTGGATATGTGCTGGGAAAGCCGAGCGATATCTGGAGTCTTGGCTGTATTCTGTACCAGATGGTCTACGTAAGTCCTCTCTACTCACCTCTTTTCGGAAATGCCCCAAACCCCTGACCCAACACGATTTGCGCGTCCTCTGACTCCGCCTCCAAGCATATTCTTCAACTCCCTGCGCGGTTAAGTGAGCCCATATTCGCGTGATTTTGACATTGACCTCCTGAGCCGTCTTCCGTCTCTTGCCCGACGAGCTTGTCTCCCTGCCCCGCTTCCTCTTGGCCGTGCTGCATTTCGTAGGAGCTTGAGGAACAGGGTAAGTTTCCTCACTCCGGTTAGCATGCCGATGGGGAGTATGTTCAGAGCTGGCAGGAAAATGAGAGGAGCCATCTTCGTCGGTGAGATCTATGACGGAGTAGGGACGCCAACGACGTCCTGCGACGCCCCGCGCAGGAGAAGCAGCCCTGGTGTGGCCAGAGGCAGGCAAATCATGAGGGTCATCTGGACTCACGCTAGCTGCTGCGCCTGAACGTGCCCCTTGTGGAGAAGGTCGAGATGTTGATAAGTCTGATCGTAATATATACACATGGGAGTACCCTGCTGGAGGTAGCCAGCAACCCTGGCTTTCGTCTCGAGAGAACGGCCTTAGTACGCTTGTGCTGGCTGGTGAGGGTACTGATTCCGAGCGCCTCGGAGGCCGCCTGCCTTAACCCGTTTCGCTTGGATCCTTTGACGCAGGTATCGGATGGCGATTGCATTCTTGCCGCTTTCCCCGTTCAAAATGAAAGCTCTACGGCAGTGCTGACGATGTAGATCATTTCTGTGACCGGCTGTCCACTGGCAAGGCTCCTCGTACGACTGACAGCTTGCCCAAGCCATTTTTACAAGCGCTGGGCAAAATTTGTGGTTACATTAGCCTACTTAATGCAAACTTTCACAGCATTTCACTTAGGCAGGTACCATCATCTACGCCAGCTACCCTTGAGAGTATTGCAGGTGAAGATGCCGCACAGCTCGGATCGCTTGGGACGGATCTCGGTATAATGGGAACACTCATGGGGGCCCGTTACCTGTCCGAAGCCACGACGATGCAGAATTTATGCCTAGGTCGCGAGCCGAATGTACCAGCAAGACCAAACCAAGTGGGAACTACATCTAGCTATCGTGATGAGTGCAGTGTCTCTGCCATTGATGGACGTGCGAGCGATATACCTCATCTGGCGAGGGGTGGCACGTATTGGATGTTGTCGAGCAACAGAGAATGATTGGCCAGGTGGCATTGAACTGGTATATACACATACATGGGATAGAGAAACTGTTGACCTATGGATGCAGACACCTTGGATCCCACGGTTTCGTACAGGGCGTCGGTGCCGGTCTTACAACCATTGGTAACCAATCATTTTAAGAAACATCTGCGACAGGTGATTTGGCAGCCGTAAAAAATCGGTGCCAAAAGCCCACCATATCTTACCGGCGCGCCTTGCAATGACCTCCGTGTTCAGAGCAAGCAAACAAATAAGAAAACAACCCCTACTAAGAGCTAGGCTCAGGCAGGAAGTCGACCATCTTCCAGTAGTGGAAGAAGGAGGTAGCTATCTTGGCCAATGGTGCCCGTGGTCCAGTTTCTGCTCCTAATAATTAAGAAAACCAGTCTATTCGATAAAGCTTCTTTATAACACCGGAAACTGGTTCCTAGGAACGCAGAATCACAATGTCAGTCTTCCTTGGTGGTCTCCTCGCCGTACTTAGACACAATTTTCTAAATGTATTCCTCTTAACCAATGAATACCTGGTTTGTATCAAGGTTCCGTCGAATCCGATTGGATCTTGATGCTGCCTGTAGAGGGCTACTCGGCGCTAGAGCTAAGCCACCACAGACACTCTTGCTTGTTATCGGATGTCTCAGCCCCCATGGGTATGAGTCAGAGTAAACCGCTCCAGACCTAGAGCCTGGATAATCGCCCCCTTCGGAAGTCGACGAACTCAAGGCAGAATTATGAATTTGCGACTGCAGGTCAGCACCACACATTTATCTATAAGACTGCGGACAAGACTGGGTCCTTTCCCCCAAAACTGTTCAGGACTTCCATTCCTATTGACCTAGCGACATTCTTCGAATCTCATTAATTATGTTGCCTTATTAGGCCATTCGACCTCGTGTGCTTTCCATAATGTGGAGCTTTCTCCGTACTTTTTGTTGCGTTAGAAACGCCGCCTCGACCAATATATCGCGAAGGCATGCCGACTTCGACCCCATGGCCGTTGGGAATGGGAACAACCCCGTCCAAAAAGCCGCCTCTGACAGAGGCTTCGAAATTATCGTTAAAAGGGATGACGAACAGCCGGGTCGCACCGACGTACAGCCTCTCGTTTACAGCACCAAGGCCTAATCGACGTCAGTCGAAGCCTTTCTAGCGCTTTTCCGCAAGGGTCGTATTGTGGGAGAGAAGCATGGCATTTCCGACCCCTTCAATGTCCTCCGCCACCGGCGTTTCCACGTGTAGATCGACGATAACTACAGGCTGCCAAAGAATACCCGAGATTCGATCTTTTTGATGGCTCTGTTGCTCCTTGTGCTCGGGCGAGCTCTGGATTCCGACATGGACTTCTACTATATAAGCCAGCCCAACACCGACTTCGAAAATCTCAACAATAAAGACGGCCAGAATGCCGATATTTTATGACAGCTATGGGTAACCAAGAACTGGAGAGAAGCAAGGAGACTAGTAGAGAGGAGCCCGATACTGCAGGACATGGGTCTCACAAAATAGATCAACAACCTCTCGCCTGGAGAGGTGCCAATTCAGCAGACGGGGGCAACGGCGGCGATAGCGGGCGAGAGCACAAGCTCAGAGCCGTTTGGCGATAATAGGGCTTACTAATGGGCCTAGACAAGGGCTCAACCAGTTAGTGCCCAGAAGGCGACCAAACAAAAAACGCATAAAGAGATGTTCATCGAGCTACGGAACCACGTGTGGGACCTTAGGGTTCAGTTCTGGGAGGGGTACAGTCAGCGAGACCTCGAGCTGGACCAGCTCAAGGAGAATTACGCTTCGGCAGTGCAAGAAGCCACGAAGCAGCCCCAGTCGCTCAACAGTCTCTGCTTCACGTACGAGCGCGAGCTCGGCCGCTACAAGCGGCAGATTGCGAGTGCCCGAGCTCGCGACCCCACCACGGTGCTTCTGCTGACAGGCTCTCCGCTGCAGCAGGTCGAGGCCGACGCCATAATCAGGCTCCAGGAGGGCGTCAAGATGGACAAAACCGACAAGCCGGGGAAGGTATCGGACCAGGGCAACCTGTTCTGTATCCAGACCATTGCCTGGACCCAGCACATAGAGAAGGCCGACCTGGCGTGCCTGCACACTATCAATAATTACTTTAAAGGCAAAAGAGACATCAATGACCTGACCGAGATCATTGACTCGGAATTTGGGAAGTTCGGTCCGAGCGCGAAGCTGCTCCTCAAGGTCCTGAACTCCCACAACACCGAAATCGACCACATAACGATCAGCCCGGGCGTGAAGTATGGCAATACGGGACTAGTCAGTCCCAATGATAAGTCGCTGGAGTTGCCCACCTTTGATAATGTTGTCAAGGTCATGGAGTAATATCACGGCGCCAACGAGGAGGATAAGGGGCTACCAATATAGGACCACTGCGCCCATTTCACGATCCTTTACTTCTCTGTAGACTTGCTTTCTTGCGCACCGACTTGAACACTACTCCACCAATCTCAGCACCTTTTATTGTTGTTTCTCCTAACAGTACACTTGTTTCAAACAGTAGAGCCGCTGCTAGATCTAAGCCGCAAACATGTAACCAACAAGAACACGAAGCAGATAGCTTGTAACACAGACCAGATCCATGTAACGCAAGCTTTCCCTATTATTATACAGTGATAGCCAACCATTCCTAGTCGCCTTTTAACTGGCCTCATAGCCTGTGTCATGCATGCAGGAGCATACATAACCAGGTGGCTAGGTGGTAGTGAACGAATGAGTCATTGACCAACCCAGTGTGCCTAGTATCCAATCATTCTCTAAACGCCGATTCTATCCAGTAACTCCTATGCGGTTTGCGAAGACCCTAGCATAGCAATGCTCGTCACCTCGAAAACTAAAGCAATATTGGACCCCCACTTCTCTACCCGTGATTGATCCTGAGAGGCGCTTAAACGAAGTAAGTACCATACATACAATGATCATGGTGAGGTATACATATAAGCATCTACATCGTACTGACTTCTTTGACCTAGACGCGTAAATACCATACGCCAAATAGCGAGAGCAAACTTGGGTGTCAAGCATTGTCTGCTTGTTAAGACGAACCAAATCCATGCACGCATCATGGCTCCAACTGCAAAACGGCCGTGGCTGACAGGTCATCAGGGAAAGTATATATGCCTTATCGGATGGCGCGTCTTCGATGCCGTCGAGCGGCGATGAAGGATTGGTCCCAGGGCGGTGACGGGGTGTGATACACATACATGCGGGCTGGCTATGAGTCACTCGCAACCACTCCTAAATGCACATTATCCTCAAGCATCTCTGGCGTTACTTGGCCAATACTGCGTCCCTAAGTAATATCATCACGGCTACCAGCAATGACCATCCAAACCCGGCAGGCGCCTTCTGCTTCTCAGGGGGGCTGTACCGCATAACTACGTGGGGTGGCAATGGAGCTCATAGTATTGGTTGGACAACAGTCAGGGAAGATGAAACAGGACCATGAGCAGGGACTGGATCGTGAACAGAAGATGAACTACGGGTTGGGACTGAATTGTGAGCAGCAAGTAAAACGAGCCTGGCGTCCCAGCTTTGGGTTTCCTAGCTTCCGATATGTACGTAAATGAGTCTCTATAAGTGTTTCATAGCCAGCCTCGATTTTATCCGCATGTATCACCCTCCAACATTTCAGAAGCTCTGCCAAACTCTGCGAAATTAGTCGTGTTCTTTGTCCTCAGCCTCAACTTCCTCTATCGGCTCTCGAATTTAATACAGGCTTTTCCGAAGTCGCTAGACAAAGCTTACTTCAATACCTCGAGCAGCGGCGCACAGCAGAAACGAGAATGGAAACATATTCAAGTACGAATTCCTCTTATTTATTACTTTCGATATATTAATAGCGTGAAGACAATTTGAACGGATGTGCGGTTGAAGACGAGAAGCCATTCGATCCAACACCAGATCCCAATACTACAGATGCAGCCAAATTCCACAGGCCTTCTAAGTCAGCTCTTACAGAGCTACTTCATCATTCAAAAAAACAACAGCCGCTGCCTTATAAAGCAACTGGGAAGGAAATAGGGCAGGGAAAAGCCAAAAGAGATTAATGGGCAGGAGGGGATGCCAAGGCGTCATCTCCAGCGTTCATGGCGTTGTGAGATTGGATGGTAATTGCTGGCAGCCGTTGATGATCTGCCTTTGGACGATGGTCTAGGCATCTAATTCTATCATGGCGCTGAGGCAAGAGCCATTTGGTAAAATGAGTGGCTGAACAGATAGCTGGACAATCTATCGACGGTTTCCACCAGGGCCTCGGAATCAATGGTGGCGAACCACTCCGCCCTGTGGCTGAGGACCATACGCATGACATGACCGCCTTAGAAGCTATGTAATTTCATCTAGAGGCTTCTCCAGGAGTTTGTAAAGCTTGCCGACGGAGGGGTGTCCAAATCGGGTGTGAATACGTCGCAGCTCGGCTTCTGTGAAGGAAATACCGGTTGACGCAGTCGTGAATACTGACGGAAAGAACAAGGGTGGCCCCATTTCGGGTGATCGGGATGGACTTGCCATCTCGCAATCGGACCATCTTGTTGGCGATATTGTCGAATATACCACCAAGACTGTCACCCCTGATCTGCTGTTCCACGACGAGTTTGCCAAACTTAGCCTGGATATTGAGGAGCTACCCGGTGTCTTCCGTGCCGCTAACAGTTGGCAGGTAGGTTTTCAGATCAACCGGTCTTGTTAACATGTTTTTGTTTTGGTCACAAGCTCCTTTGCTCCTTTGCTCCTTTCCTCCCTTGATGTTACAACTAACAACTAACTGGATGTGCGCATAGAGACTTGGCTCCAGATATCCTTCTCTATCAAAGCCGATCCACGCGACACGTTACCTACAAACCTGCCCTCCGACACCCTCGATACTACCGCCGTCTATATTACATCCACAACTCCGCCACTGTTTAATACGGATACTGCTAGCTATTAAATGACAAGAGTTAAGGTCGCCGCTTTGGCTTGTTGTTTGAGCTGTGGCAAGAAGTACGTACGACCCAGCACGCAGCCCTCGATAGCATCATTTCCTACACGCCAACGACGATGGGACGATAGGACGATGGGACCGTCATTCCATACGACAGTACCCAGAAGCCCTTGAGCATACCTCCTCCTGGTTATAGAGGCGGGCAAGAAGAGCAGTGCCAAACCGAACCTTGTGTCCCTGCTCGTCGGCGATGGCGTTGAGAGGGAATTACACGTCAACGAAGCTGCCGTCTGCGGTCTGGGCTTCGGATGCACGGGCGGGATAGTTATCGTCATTCTTGGCGTTGGCCAATGCAGGACGGTGGTGCTACTCATATTGGTAAAGTCTTCGGTTGAAACTTCTCGAAGACTCTGGGTCATTTACTTGACTGCATACTACTAAAGTCAAACTACCAAGGGAGTTATTAAACTAGACAATCTAATCATTCGGTAAAAGCAGCGAAAGGTCATGGACATGTTGATCTATGAGTAATCTTCACAGCAAACAGGGAGAATCTCGTGGGAGATCATATGGCATATAATTGGCGGCGAGAGCCCTCGTTTAGAAGGTAGCTACAGCCGAGCCCTACGGTTAGAGCACGGCATTCTAAAAACCACTGTAATCCGTGCCGTCAGAGACAGGATTCAGGGGCTACGGCCGTTATGTTTGTTTGTTTTGTATTTAACGTGGGGGGTAGCTCCTCAGTAGTGTAGACCACGCCTCCCAGAGCCATTGCATCGCAAGGTTGTAGAGGTGTCAGACTAGATACATTCAGATCCGCGCACGAGCCTATCCTCGCTGTACCGGTACCAATCTGGAGTGTCCAGATGGTTTTAGTCAATACCCAAGCACGATTCCGTCAGAAAAACCTCCTATCTAGTGACAGAGCGACCCAGTGAACCTCAGTCCTCTGGTGTACATATCGTTCCAGTAGCCGTTTGATATATGTCGCATTAGTGGGTGGAGTAGGTGTTTGTTATCTGCTGGCGAGAGAAACCACAAGGGGAAAAACCTCGCAGGAGTGGGTATTGTGGAGACAAGCTTCTTGGCTATCGGGCTCTGCGATAATGGGGCCTCTCCACTGTCGTGTGCTGGTTATCGACTCGCACAAGCCGGGTCAGAAAGGGGGGCTATAACAGGATTCGAACCCACTTGTTCTCGTCGCCCACCGCACAAACGAGAACACAACCAGGCGCATTTGACCATTGCGCCATACGGCCGGGCTACGGCCGTTAGATGTGGCAGTGAGAGTAGCTATCATCTAGGAGGCCCCAGAGAATTGAAACCCAAATGAAGAAGCAATTAACAACGCCTTCCTTGCTATCCCTCCTTCCAGTAAGTACAATAGCCTGTGGGCGGGTGAAAGGGATTTCTGGCGACCAATTTGCGCGTGAATAGGTTGTTGAAGATAGCAGGTTGAGTGGCCTAACTGTGGTTGCGCCGAAATTGCATATGTAGCCCCACAGACCACGTACGGAATAAAAGACACCACCATCAAGCTGTAGGCGTTCGACTGCATCGTGCTGATTATGTGCTGCTTATTGGAGTGCAGCCGGTCCAGTAGTTTCAGTAGAATCAGAATTGGTTTTCTTTGCGAACAGCCTGACCACGGCCTCGTGCCTGTTCCGTGCCGCCCACGACAGCGGCGTCTGGCCGCCGCTATCTTTCGAGTCGGGATCGACGTTCCCCGTGTCGAGCAGCAGCCGGACCACGGCATCGTGCCCTTTCTCTGCCGCCCACGACAGCGGCGTCTGGCCGTAGCTATATTTTGAGTCGGGATCGACGTTCCCCGTGTCGAGCAGCAGCTGGACCACGGCCTCGTGCCTGTTCCGCGCCGCCAACACCAGCGGCGTCCGCCCGTCGCTATCTTCAACATTTGCGAGGAAATCCCCAGCTAGTGTCGCAACAACTCCTTTCAAACCGAAATAAGCTGCCAGGTGTAATCCGGTCATGTGCTTTGGCGGTCTCTGACTGTAACCTGCGCACTTATGCCAATCGCTAGTTCCGAGGACTTGGCTTGATTGTTCGACTTGGGCTGGTTTCTAGAGAAAGGAAAGAACATTTGGACAGTTCGATAATTCGTGGCTATGATATCCCTAATTGCAAGCCGCGTAGTCATAAAAATGGTACAACTTAAGCCGTTTCTCGAGTTTTTTATCTATTGCCACCTATCCGTCTGAAAAGTTATTAAAGGCAAGGTAAGTGGTACAGACTGCCGCGATGGAGCCCTGTGCGTCGGAAAACCAGTCGCTCTTAGTCCGTTGAAAGTATTCCTGTGTTGTGTAATGAACTAGGCGGACGATACTGCTCTCTTTATCAATGGTCACCAGTCCAGCACATATAGAAACTATATCTCCTATTTGCGGGAGGTTATCTTGGTCAAGGCTTGGCTCACCAATTTTGACGGCCAGAACATGTTGCAGTTCGAGTTTGGTAAGCGGCCTCTTCGCACATGTAATCCATGATAGGACTTCCTTAGCACGCTTTGCCTGCTCTTGGAGCTGTCCTTGGATTCTTTCCATGGCGGACTGGTATGCATAATCGTAAGCATCAGAACCGGTCGCCAGCTTTCCTATTGCTGTTTGTATAGCTTTGCGCGTATCTTTGCCTTTTAATGAGGCAAAATGGAGCTGTGCCAGCAAAAACCTAACCCGATCAGCACAGTCCACGCTGTCTTTTACATATACATACATTCCATTAACAGCTTTTGTTATGCTTCTTGTGATCTCGTCCTGAAGGTCAGGCTGAATGGCGACGAATCCTGGAAGCTCGGACAAATGCCCTTGCAGATATCTGCGAATGTCGCCCTTGGTTGCGCGAATCTCTTTTGACGGACTGCTTTTGAATCGGTCTGTGACCTCCGGCACCACCCTAGAAGTTGCGAAAATATTTATTCCCGTTTTCTGCTAAAAATAGAAAATTACTGATAAGAACTTTGCACGGCAGCCGTCAGAAGCCTGACATTCATCCAGTGCATCAATGATGACGAAGACCCGGGAATTCTGGGCCGTTACCAGTTCGAGTGCTCTGCAGATCTCGTCCACAGATGGTCGAGTTCGTTTTCGCTTATGCCGATCGTAAAGCTCTATCAGATTCCGTGATAAAAAAAGCTGGCCTTAAGCTGGCTATTTTAACAGACTCGATAACAAGCTTTCAGTAATTCTGCTTGCTTTGGCACTTATAGTTACAGTAGACATAGGCGACTGCAACGCTAGTCTCGCTGCCAAATCGCTTCTCAAGGTTGTTGACGGTAATTGATGTCAAGATCGTCTTTCCAGCTCCAGGGATCCCGGGACAGAATAACGTCTTGTTTGGTTCTCTGAACCAACTCGTATGCTTGTCAGAGTCAAGGAGCCATTGTCCTGTGCCTGGTTGACGCCTCTTCAGGTAGTCGGTTTGTTGAGGCCCGTAGTCAGTCGGTATCAGCCAGTCCAGGACTTCGGTATCTTCTTTCTTCTCTAAATATCGTCTTGTATGTGTGATAGCTTTATTTATAAAAGACACAGTGTTCGAGACTGTGAAAACTATCAGAAAAGACCCTCTCGTTCGTAATTACTTCGTCTAGTGGAGGAGGGTCTTCGTCTTTTCTGCCATGTCTCAGGCCAAGACGATCTGAAGATGACGGATCACGGTCTAGTGTAAGTCCGGCCTGGTAGATGAGATGGTCCAGTTCGGCGACCCCGTCTTCGATGAAACGGAGGTTGAGAAGATGGGTGGTTTTGAACCGGCGAAATCCATGAAGAGCAATGTTGTCGCTTTCTGTCGCGTTTTGCCAATGCTTGATGAACTTTTGGCTTAGGGTATTGGGGTACTGTGACGGTAGTGCCATTTCTTTGATACCAAGAAGTCGTCGAGACGATGTAAGTATGCTGATTTGCGACTACGTGTGTTGGCAAAGAAGGTAAAGTGCGCGGTAACATCAGGAACAGATCTGACGTGAAATAGTCCAATATTTCTAATAAGACTAAAGGAAATTGTATTCCTGTGTGCAAGCGCAATGCGCAGCCTCGAGCGTGAGGAGAAACCACGCTATATCTTGAGGTGCGCCGTAAGCCTTCGAAATCGATTCCGTGTCGAGAGGACTTGACGGTAAGGGAAATGCTAGATCTCTGGAAGGGGCAGTGCTATTGTGTCGCGGAAGTAGATAAACCGGCATTTTCGACGGTATGCAGTCCCGATGACAGGCCCCATAGCAGGCACGTCGGCGATGCGAGACGGCAGGCATTGAGCAAGGGCCACATGCCGCGAACGAGCAAGGAGTGCCGGGATGTGGCGCAGGGGCTAATTGATCGAACGTGGCTGACCTATTTCTCGTTGTACCGCCTTTACTCACCGACGACACTTAAGGCTCGCTTCCTCCCCTTGCCCTTAGGCTTTGGGTCTGCGGTATTAACGCAAATGGTGTCCTGGGAGGTGGTCCCTTGTGTAGAATCGCCCTGTGTAAGGTCACCCTGTGTAAGGTCGCCCTGTGGGGTGTTGCCTTGCGGTGTTAGGCTTGGGTTAATCCGTTATTGGCTGAGATTATTTGTGCCGGTAGAGTCTGTCTCCCCTGGGTTGTGAAGATCTCGGTATCGCTTTGCTCCGGCGCGCCGGATAGAAGCAAGTTGTCTCTTCGTAGGGCGTACCAGTTCTCCATGCTTCCGCTTGGGGGCAGCTCCGCAGTCGCTATGCCCTGTAGAGAAGGGACCTTGACAGTTTGCACAGCGTGCAGGTCGGTCACACTCCTTGGCGAGGTTATGCTCGCTGAGCCGATCATCGCAACGCCCGCAACGGGGGGCCCGGGTACATTTCCTGCTCAAGCAGTACCCTTGGCATCCTGGGTTGTGGATGCTAATGGCGGGTTTCTTTTCAACCAGCCTTGTGCGACAGTTTATACATCAGACCTCACCATCCTCCATGTTTGTATCCATCTTGCTGACATCAATCTCGCTTTGGTACGTACACCTGCACTACGGAAGGAACTGGATCATAAGCTGAAATCGGATAAGAACTTCTAGAAAATTATGAGCTTGCTTATTCCCCTGCAATTCACGCAAAGGTCGAGTTCTGGAGCAGATGTCACATGTCTGTTCTGGATGCCTCTGAGAGCTGATTTTGGCCGTGCGTGGGACAGACGGTAGAGATAGAGTTGGTTGTGTCCATACCTTGATCTTGAGTAGATGGATTCGAGGAATTAATCAAAGCAGACGGTACACCACCCTCAGCCGTCACCAACTCGTTGAGAAGGCCCACATCTAAGATCGTGTCATCCATGCGGACAAAGACCCGAAGATCATCCTGCTCCTTCTTCAGTTGGTTGGCAGTGATGAGGGCGCCAGGCTGTGTTTTTTTCCTGGTAATATTGATTGTCCATGGATGCTGTCGTTGGCTAGAGGAGACAGCTTGAGCGAAGGTCATGGTGGGCTTCACTATCCCTACCCCCCCATGAATGGTCTTTCTTTTGGGCGGATCTCGGGTTTCCAGCCACTCGTTCAGGCATTTGGAGAAGAAAGCGCTGAACTCCTTGGCATGAGAGTATAGTTCGGTTCCAGCTTTTTCCAGTGTCTTATCGACTGCTGCAGCACACTCCTGAAATATTGTCATCCTGGCTTCATAGAGATGCTTGTCTTTAGCCAGTATTTTGGCAACTTGGTCCTGGCACTCTGATGAGGAGACTTTGTTCCCTGCATCACCTCCAGTGGCTTGGTCTGTAGAGATTTCGCTTGATTGAGGTACTTCTATATCAATAGTGCTGCTATTATTAATATTTCGGGATTTTCTTTTCAGAGGGGAAACAATGGTGAAGTCAGCCTCAGAGACCTGTGACGGGCTGCTGTTAATGTCGTCGAGCAGTGCCTGGCGGAGCCTGCTTGGGGTTGCCGGGCCATATGTTCTTTTAGGGACCGGGGATTTGAGCACGCCGCCAGTAGTCGTCTTTGGGACGGCCACTGGCGTACTTGGGGGCCTATCATGAAGGGGTGCCATCCAGCTTGTGAGAAGATTTTTCTGCGCCTTGGCAAGGATAGTCAGATACTGAGAAAAATGCCTGCTTTAGTGCAGATATAGAGGTTGCGCCCTAACAGCGGGGCGCCAAGAAAAATAGTTGGCCTTTCTCTCCTCTTCCCCTAATCTGTGTCTCAGGCACTTTCTGCCTGTGTTTTGGCATTGGGACAAGAATCGAACCGTGGTACCCGGCATGGGGCCGCCCCTTGTATCAAGTTGCACTTGCATCGTTCCGGCTGTGGGTTGTGTGGGAGTGGACGAGAGTTGTCCAAGATCACCAAAGAGAGAAAGCCATCCTCGCAGGGCACTACCTCGTCCGATTAGGAGCCTTATCTCTGACCATACTAGTGCAGCGCTGCTCAACTATGGCGTTGACGTTAGACATGGATGATCTTGACAGGCTACTTTGTGGACGTATGATTGAGGCTTTTCTGGACGTTTAAAATGCATGCACCATGGACTGGAACTTTTCAGTTTCTCCCTCTGGGACAGCACTGCAAACCGCGCCTCCCAGAGCCTGTGTAGTGCATGGTTGTGGAAGTGTCAGAAGATATGTACAGTCATATCAAGCTCCAAAAGCATGGAGATTCCAGCTCATTTTTAGACGATTCCTTGGTGAGGCGGTTATCCGACCGGCATTGATGCTCCATTCCTAGACCAGTGCCCGAGAATAAAGCAGATCTTTTTCACTTCTTTACAAAGGACGGCTGGAATATAAAATCTTTATTCAGCTTTCGATCATAACCCACTTTATATCCTGCATTTTCTGCTGTATAGAGTGCTTAACGCAGATCGAATTCGATATACATTACAACGTCAACTTCAATCTGTTGCCTATGATTAAAATGCTCCTACCATGGAAACGACAAGGCCTTTGGGCTTTACTTGCGATATCATTTACATTGGCCATTATTTTGGGGTCTCTTGCTCTCGGTACAGCCCATAGTAAAATGGGTGGGATTATTGTTCTACAGGCATGTTACTTCGTCACATGCTCACGGATTAAGGCTAACACGTAATAGTTCAATTTCAGTTCCCTGCTAGGCGGAGCATTGGTCACAAAGAGGTTGCCTCTAGAAATGCATGTGGACACTTTGATTCGTAATATAGTCGCCGACGCAGCTGGCTCCGTTGGTGACCAGGCAGGTAGCCTTCTAGATTCCTTTGCCAGTGAAGCGGGAGACCTAATCGGCAGCACCCTCCAAGAGCTACTTCCGCAGAACTGTTCCATCGGTACCGAGAAATTCTGCGTTGGGACATCCCAACAGGTTTCTTGCCATGAGTTGCCGCCGGTATTGTCTGATATCATCGCATCCGATATTCAGAACTACCTGGGTATTAATATCAGCCAGCTTAGTGCGTTGAATAAAACCCTTGGAGGGTTTACGGCCGACCCTATTCGTGATCCGTGGATCGTGGGCAGCATTCTCCTCACATGCTTAATAGGGCTTACAATTATCACCGCTCTCAGAGATCTCCTCATGAATTCCATCTGGTTAAGATTCACCATACCCGTTGTAGTCGGGTTAGCTTCATGTGTTTTTTACGCAACACCCGTTATAGTTGTCCGGAAGTTGGTGCTGAGCGCCGAAGACGTCGCACATTGGATTCACTCTGTTCAGGGCGAAAGCGTGGGGTATTTAATTGGCAGCCTGTGCTCTGCGATTAGTACGACTATCTTGTGCTTCACAGTCATAGTCGCGCTATAAGCGTACCAATGTCGCCCGCGCTCGAACTAGGACGTGGTTCATTTGGCATCGTACGGCGAACAGTTTACCAAGGGACTGGGGAGGTCTACGCTACGAAGGAAGGCGCTGGAGTCAAGCTTGATGAGTGGATGAGGGAGTCTTTGCTGCTGGGGACGAGCGTACACGTACGGTTGTCTTATCTGAGATCGGGAAATCAACAACTAATCATTAACTATCTAACCCCTTATACCCGAATCATTATATGTCACTAATGTATCAGCAATTTCCTCTTCCGACCAGGACGCGCTAGAGGTCTCTGCGTACCCGCACCACGGTGGACCCAAGCTAGTGTAGCAATGGCTCAAATTTTTCTTGTAATTCATCCCAAGTAATACCTTCCATACGGCCGCGCTGCGCAAGGTAGTGCACTCGTGATATCAATCTGCTTTCCTCATCCATTCCCCTCATTCGCGAAATAACCATAGTTTCAAATCCATCGAACACGAGCTTTGCCCAAGTTATAAGGTTAGACCCGTTATAAACCATGTGAGAATGGTAGTAGATATCGACCTGTGGCTTAAGGATGCCAACCGAAGCAGCGAACGTAATAAAGCGAGATACAGGGATGATATCGCATCGCTCAACTTCAGCCTTGAACCGAACGCTTGTTATAAAGTCTTGGCTATACTGATACCGCAATTGGCGGCAGGACTGCAGGATGGGCAGAATGCGGAAATTTCGGTCTATATGTAGGATACGGTTCGTTGGTATGACATAGGCCATAATCATGTTTTTGATTTCAGGAGGAAGACCCATGAGGGTGTTGTCGGGGTACAGCGCCCAGGCTTTTGATCTATGGGCCTCGAAAATACGCTTTTGTCATGTTAGCTAATACCTATACAGAGTAAGAAGCACCTACTTCTCCAACTCCCTGGAAGGCAGGTATTCGACGCGCACCGCGTTTCCTTCTTGAAGGTCTTCTGTGACCTGACAGAGATGCCATGGCCGGCGACGGAATAGCTTCCTGAGCGTTCCCGAACAGCGATAGCGGCGGGCAAAAGTGGATGTGGGACACCTTAAGAAATGCTTGGCTCAGCACGCGATGTCGAAAGGTGGAGGTTGTCGAAAGGTGGGGGTTGTCGAAAGGTGGAGGTTGTCG